TTTTCCGCCATGTTTTTGATCGCCCCAACAGTGTATCAACGGCTAAAAGTGCCTGGGCCCTTTTCAGGATCGTATCCAGGAAAGGCGCGTACGAACTAGCGTACATTATTTATTGTAAATGGAAATGGCCTATGAAAAAAATGTTCTAATAAAAGTAATTAATGTAATTACTTGCTCCAACGTATAAAAGTATTAACGCGTTATTCGTCAACACTGCAAATTTTTCACTGTCACACCGACTTTGCACTAACACACGTACAAAAATCCTGTGATTGGTCATATCTAAAACATGTCGGATGCGCAGTACGGATCGGCGCGAACGTGAAACAAAAGAGCGAGTGCCACTACTGGTTATATACTGTGGTTGCGATTCGTTTCAATAGGCGACGTTCGCTTCACATTACGCGCGATATTCGTCTCGACGAATCACCGCGGAACGACAATATTACGGAGCGCGACAATTGCACAAACGCGATTGATAAATGTTCACAACTTTTGTACGATCGAGACTTTCGTAAGAAATGATCGCGTTATGAGAACCGACGCGAAAACACGCGGAGCAACCACCTCGCTCGACTGTGCCGCGCCGATTGTTAGACACAATGCAAAAAAACTGTTTGCGACCGAGGTGTTTTCTAGTGTTTTCGACGCTACGTCATATCTCGGAACCAACGCTCGGCCTTGACCTCGAATTCCAACAATGCTCGCGATTGATTAATCTCAATAATTGACGAAAATTTTTAAGTACGGCGTGAGAGAGATTCATCCCGCGTTTAATCGTTAAGGAAGGTATCGCCCGTGGCTTATCAAAATGAACATAATTTATGTAATTCCTTAATCGCGTTTCTACTTCACGTTACGCGTGATATTCGTCTCGACAAAATCACCGCACGACGATATTACGGATCGCGATTGAGAAATGTTAAGAACTTTCGTACGAGACGAGCGCGTTGCGTATGAGATGCTCGAGCTTTTCGTAAGAAATAATCGCGCGATGAGAAGCGACGCGAAAGCACGCGGAACGTCCGCCTCGCTCGACTGTGCCGCGCCGAATGATTAGGCACACCGGAAAGAAAACTGTTTTCGACCGAGGTGTTTTCCAGTGTTTTCGACGCTACGTCATTTCTCGGAGCCAGCGCTTAGCCTTGACGCCCGCATTCCAACAATGTTCGCGATTGATTAATCTCAATAATTGACGAAAATTTTTAAGTACGGCGTGAGAGAGATTCATCCCGCGTTTAATCGTTAAGGAAGGTATCGCCCGTGGCTTATCAAAATGAACATAATTTATGTAATTCCTTAATCGCGTTTCTACTTCACGTTACGCGTGATATTCGTCTCGACAAAATCACCGCACGACGATATTACGGATCGCGATTGAGAAATGTGCTTAAGAACTTTCGTACGAGACGAGCGCGTTGCGTATGAGATGCTCGAGCTTTTCGTAAGAAATAATCGCGCGATGAGAAGCGACGCGAAAGCACGCGGAATGTCCGCCTCGCTCGGCTATGCCGCGCCGAATGACTAGATACAATAACAAAAACTGTTTTCGCCCGAGGTGTTTTCGACGCTACGTCATTTCTCGGAACCAGCGCTCGAGCAAACGGGCAACGTTTTGTTCACGTGATATCATGTTGATTGGAGAAAGTCGTTACGGACAGGCAGCTCAGTATTGTTCGGCGCGTGATAACGACAGGATCTCGCGATCGCTCCACACGTACGACGCGGATTTACCTGTCGCACGATTAACTCTTGCGTTCAGGAATGCGTGTGCACGTCAAAGTGGCGATTTGATCGAGCGGTCACGTTGGCGATCGAACTCTGTGAAAGTGAAAAATTGAAGACAGTGGGAATCGCATACGGTGACAATCGGATATACATATATGGTGCGTACAGTGTTCAGTTTTAATTGTGTATTTTTAATTAAACCACCTGTCATTGCTAACCGTCGACTTGACCAAGAAGCACCGAACGTTTCTGATATGTTGAAGTGTTTCGTCGCCATTGTTATAACGCGACGATCGCGAAAAGAACCGGCAGAAACGCGCACGATTCCAGTCGCGAACAGTAACAAATCAGAAATTTTTCGGCACTTACTTGACGTATTTTTATCTCGAAAGAATTTCTATTCTTCCACAATGCAAAGATAACTCGTATATTAGCTGTGAGCTCTTTGTAGGAAAACTGCACGCTTTCCCGCGCATCGCGTTCTCGTGCCGGTCTGCTGCATAGACTTAGTAAATATAGACTGAGCGTCGCATCGATTATTATTATTGCGTTTAATGGCTCCTGACTCTAGAGGGAGCCAACACGGCCAGTTCTATCCGATTGGCTGGTTGTCGCATCGAATAAAGCCCGCTGCAGACGATGCTATTTTTCCTGCTGGATTGCTTGCGATCTAATAAATTACTATCGTTGCACCATTCAACACTCAGGATTCCTAGTAATTTCGTAAATCGCAAGCAATCCAGCAGGAAAAATAACATCGTCTGCAGCGGGCTTAAGCTGAGGTTGCAGAGAGAGAGAGAGAGAGAGAGAGAGAGAGAGAGAGAGAGAGAGAGAGAGAGAGAGAGAGAGAGAGAGAGAGAAAGAGAGAGAGAGAGAGAATATTCAATACATAAAATTTACATACACAAAATTTTTCAATAATTGAAACACCATTGCAACAGCATATTCCTGAGACTAAATCAAGTAAAAAAGTCCTGTACTACTTTTCTCTCCGACAAACAGTTATCGAGAGATTATAAACTAAACATTGAAAAAGTTATAAATTTCCTCTTGAATATCTCAAAAAGTATTAGGCAAATCAAAAATGTTTCAGACAAAAGTTGTTCATATTAATTAGTAGAATAAAATAGTATAATAAACAATAGGGAGTTCCATTTAAAAAATGGCGGCGACCTCCATATAATCATAAAAAATTAATGTTTTTGGAATATTAATTTTACCATTATATAGCCCTTTTAAAACCGTACAACTTTCGTCTGAAACATTTTTCCGTATCTCCCATATTTTTCGAGATATTTTACCGATCCGGTACTTTTCCCTCACCCTGTATAATACATGTATGAAGAAAAAGTAAATAATTTTCTGAAATTTTATAAATATTTTATAAATTTTATAAATATTATGGATATAAGATAGGTTTATTTAAATATAGTAATGTTAATATTTTTTTTTAAATAACACGAGAAGTTGTATTTAATAAGAAATATATTATTAAACAGTATAAAAGGTCTATTTGTTTCGGAGTGAATATTTTTTGAAGCATATTACGGACATTTTCTATTACATGTTTTGAAACTGTTGTTCTTTCTGTTTGCAATCGCTTTACTTTCTTCTTGAGCAAATCGTTTTTCTTGTTTGCGTTGCTTAGTTTCTTTATCAAATTTTTAATTTTTTCTTTATATCTGAAAAATATTTCGTTCATTTGAAAAATTATGCAATATAATAAAATAATTTCTTGTTTGAAAATTACTTGTACAGAATTAATTTTATTTACCTTATAGCTGCTCATTGTCAGACAAAACAGTCTCCAAGAGCACACCTTGTTTTCCTTCCACCATGTTCGAGATGGCTTTCTCTCTCTCTCTCTCTCCGCAAGCGGTTTTATTCAATGGAATGCGCAGTCTATATTTACTATGTCTATGGTCTGCTGGAGCCATGAAGAATGACGTAATTTACTGTGCATATCATAGGTGCATATAAGCTACCTGCAACATAACCTTGAAGAGTCGATGAGTAAGAAGGTTATGTCAGGTTATGCTTAGATACCGAATGCTTTGACGTTTCTGTCGACCCGATTTGGATATGGGCTTGTTTGGAAAGTCGCAAGAGAAGAATCCTAAAGAAATGGTGAGCCGCTACGAAATATTCCCGGTTTAACTCGTATTTATTGGCGTTTATTGTATCCCAGGTTCAAGAGTGGACTCACAAATTGAGGAAGGAAGGTTATCAGCTTGACAGACAGGTTAGAGGTAAGATATGAGAAAATTTTCCGAAAGAAAAGTTGGCAAGTTTTTCGGAAAACGTAATCGCAATTACACTTGTCCGCCATAAATTGGAATATAAAATCTTAACATAAAAAAATTTTAATCCTAGAGGCTCGAAACATCATATTAGATACGTTGGATACGAAAAATTGCGATCTCAATTCTTACGTGAGAAAATCTTTATCATATCTAGGAAAGATACGAGATACGGAAAGATAAAGATATAGAAAGATTTTTAGTGTCAAAAGGAATGTTTAGGATTCATGAAAATAATGTAGCCCCTTTTGCGTGTTTCTCTTCTTATTGATTCTTAGATATTCGTATAAATGATATTTTTTGTACAGCAATTCAGAGAGAAGAAGAGAAAGTTAAACGTTCCCTGAAGGAAGCGGCGAAGAAAGGGGATAAAGATGTGTGCAAAATTCTCGCGAAGGAGATCATAAGGGCTCGTAAAGCCTGCAATAAGATTTACACATCCAAAGCGCACTTAAATTCCGTCTCGTTGCAAATGAAAAATCAGTTGGCGACGATCAGAGTTGCTGGTTCAGTTTCTAAATCTACAGAAGTGATGCAAGCAATGCAGTCTTTAGTGAGAGTACCAGAGGTGGCTGCAACCATGAGAGAAATGTCAAAGGAGATGATGAAGGCAGGTATAATCGAGGAGATGTTAGACGAAACGATGGATTCTATTGAAGATTCTGAGGACATGGAGGATGAAGCTGATGAAGAAGTCGATAAGGTAATAAAGTCAAATAATTACTCTTTCATTGTTTATTTCATGTGTTGGAGATGACTTTTTGGAGAGACTTAAAACATTGTAACAAGGAATTTTTAGAAAGTTTTTACTCAAATTGGTGTATACAGAATACTGTGTGATAAAATTCTTTCATATTCTCGTAGATTTTATGGGAGGTGACAGCTGGCCAATTGGGTACAGCACCCGCAGTTGTCACAGAAAATCCTGGGATTCCGTCTACCTCTGCAGAAGAGGAAACGGAAGACGATGACAAAGAATTTGAAGAGATGAAGAACCGATTGCAAAGTCTTCGCAGTTAGATGAATAATTACAAATGATTGGAGAATATTTATATTATACAAATGTCAGGGAAATAAGTATCTTAATAATAACATTTACTAAATAAATAACACAAATTATAAATAGTAGCACTTGCCTATTTATCATGTTTTGCTATTTAATGTAAATATTGTATTATCATATTGTAGGTACTGTCGCTTTGTAGAGCAAGCATTGTAAGCACTGTATATTTTTACATTAATTATTCAATAATAATTTTCTTTATACTTACAATTATTAATTATTATAGAGACAGATTACGTAGGTTAAATTTAGACTAAAAGTTAATCATATAATAAAATTATTACAAATTTGAAAAATCAAAATTAAGAAAATCACACGGATAATTGAAATTAAACTTTCAGGTAATCTTTAACTTTTCTCATTTTTCATATGTTCTTGTCATATGTTTACAGTTATTTATACATTTAATAAGAAAGAGTTTTTTTTAGGAGAAACTTTATAGAATTTGGATTCTAATATATTATCTTTTTCCAGTTTGTAATTTATTTTAATGTTTGCTTATTTACATTTTCAAGTTATATGAAATAAAAGAAGCTTACAGCTGTAGCAAAGCAAAATCAAACCATATAGTATTGATGATTATTAATTACTGTTAATTAATTAGACAATTTGAAATATAGTGTTGAAATGTGTGTCAACAACGTTATAGTGAAAGAAATATTTTGTTGAATATTGTTAATGAATAAATTATAATAATATTATTGTAATATATTTTTCTTACGAGAATCCTTCCAGAGAAAGAATATTGATTAGATGAATCTTATTTAACAATGCCTCTTTTAAGTATCAGAAAAAACATGATTTAAGACTTCAACTTATTTTTCATTAATGAATAACGCTATGTAATTAGAAGATGCAAACTGTTTATTTCATAAACATAAGAAGAATTAAACATAGAATTTATAAAAGCTTTTTCACTTAACATAAATTTTATTTATAATGACATTGTTACAATTATTATTAATATTCTTAACACCTTATATAAATACATAGTAAAAATATTTTTCGATTATGAACATATATATATATATATGTATATATGTATGTATATATGTGTCAAGAGAGAGAGAGAGTGCTTTTCTTTTTTTACAAATGAGTTTATGGCGATGCACTATTGTAGAAATATTCCTTAAAAGTAATATATTTAAAGATTAATATACAATACGCTATGTATGTATGTATGTATACAGTCACATAATTTTCTCTGCAAGATCTGTGTTTATTTCATTTGGTAGAGAAACTGTGTTTATATTCGAAAACTTTGATTATAATTATGTGTTTTCAGTCAATCGTTAATTACTTTTAATAACATTTATATTGTATTAATGTATATCGTGTATCAAGAGAACAATTCATAAATTATAAAAGATACATATTTACATATGACTTGCTTATAGCATACATCTCCATAGCTTTCGAGAAAAGTTTTTTATTATAATAATCTATCATAGTTCTTATTACTACAATCTTTATAGTATCATCAAATGACATCGTAAATTGCAATATATACATTATCTAAGAAGAGTCAGAAGCCCATAATAAGAAAGAACATGTGAAAAGTATCACTATCTTAAGGACGTTCATCGGTAAATCGATTTTCTATGTATTTATTTCAAATTTGGACCATGTGCTATTAATAGTGCTATCTATATGCCTGCTCAGTTCAAAAAACTGTGTCCGTACCAAAGTGGAGACATTTAATATCAAAGTTACTCGTACGGTATAGACAAAACATGATCTACGGGAATATTTTAATTTATTGTACTAGAAATTGTTTATATATATTTTGCTAAGAAACCAATCTATGATGCATAATGATATTAGGAATAATGTATTACAGCTGATGAACGTCCTTAATAGAAAGAAAGAGAAAAATATGCATAACAATGTTTCTTCTTTGTAGCACAATTTCTCTGTCAACTGCTATTTTCATACTACGAAATGAGCACTGGGTGTGTACACATTATTGTTAATACGAAACATGTAGCTAATACGTGCGATTTTTTATGAATCATCAATTAATCTATCCGTAAGTAAATTGCTTTTCTTTTTAATTCTGATATTAAACTTATTAACCTTGTCAACAAAATTAAAAGAACACTTCTAATCGGTAGCAAAAATAGCGACTCTCTTAGAGAAATATTTCAAAATGTAAAACCTCAGTTTTTAAATCAATCGTCTTTGTTCTCGATGATATCTCTGCTCTAAGATGCACCCTTGATTCCAGGTTAACAGCATTTTCATAAAATTATATCAATTTATATTTCTCGTCAGTTTTACTATCGATTTAAAGTGACTTTTTAATTTTGTCATATATAAATCATTAACGAACAAGAATATCGTTATTAACTTTAATGTTTAAACTACACTGAGAAAAAAAGTGTTTAATAAAAAAGTATTCCTTGATTCAACTATATATACTGCAATCATGGGCTGTCAAGCGAATATTTGTTATATTAAAAAAATATTTATATATATATTTCGATAGGATTTATAAAAGCTTTTTCACTTAACATAAATTTTATTTATAATGACATTGTTACAATTCTTATTAAACTAAAGAAATATCTCCAGTTAAACATATGTTTAGTCATTTTAACAATTCTTTTCTCAGTGTATGTTTGTGCTATAAATATTAAATTGTCAACTTACAAATATATGTATATATGATTGATAATCGATACTTATATCATAGAAATTTAGCAAATAAATCATAAAATAATATTTCTACTTCAATTCTTAGATTTTTAATTTATTTTGAAAAATTACTTTACTATATTTTTTCCAATCGTATTATTCAAATAAATAATTTTTCAGGATTTCTTAAGGGGATGCTGGAGTGATTCCGCACTTTCGCACCTTTTGCACTTAAAACTGTCTGTTTCGTGGAAAGATTTGTGTAATACACAAATTAAATGGCACGTGTACAGATGATCGAAAGCAGCTTGCTATTCCGGCTAAATTAAAGAACAATATGACATCACTGAAACTAAGTTTGTAAGTCTAATAAAAAATAATAGTGAGCAACACATACGTACAGTACATGTAGTATGTGTGTTGCTCACTATTATTTTTTATTAGACTTACAAACTTAGTTTCAGTGATGCCATATTGTTCTTTCATTTGGCCGGAATAGCAAGCTGCTTTCGATCTGTATACGTAAGCCATTTAATTTGTATATTACACAAATGTTTCCGCGAACTGACAGTTTCTAGGTTAGAAAGGTGCAAAAGTGCAGAATCACTCCAGCGTCCCTTTAAACGTTGTCTAACATGACAAAATAATTGAAAAACTTATCTCATTGAGAAAATATATTAGATACTATATTGTTTTAAAAAAATGTACACGAAGCAATTTCTGTAATATCAAACAACTCTAAGTTTTCGTAATTTTCTAATTAATAAAGTTATGAAAAAGTCTTGATACTAAAATATATGTTTGCAATTTCAGAGTTTATCGATTACCATATTAACGATTGACAATTTCATTGTTGCCCTAGCTTGTGTCGGTAGACGACGCATTAGCGGCACCATTTTCCTAAAGAAATACTTAATCTCATTGTTGATAGGAAACATGGTTCTTCTCATGGTTCCCGTAACTCTCTTTTGTCGCCTTACTTTTCCCTTCTTACTCTTCCCTGGACTTTTCTTCACTTGATCCACGTCGTCGAAATATTCCTGTTTCACCTGCATTAATATTAAGAGTTATTAAAGTGAATCATTATTCATAAATACAATAACAAATGCAAAAATGATTATTTTTTATTCATTAGTTTCATTTCATTCTTATATATTTCAATTATTTTATTACAATTATATATAATTTATTGTGTTTAATTTAAGAAAGGGCCTTGTTTATGCGTATAAACTTAATTGTCCCAAATTATCGATACAGTTTTAATTATTAAAAGTATTATGAAGTTACAAATAATTGTTATTCCCAAGTACATTTGCAATTGTATATTCGTATAATCGTTGCTAATAACGAACAAGAAAATATTTTGTTTGACACTGACCTGAACTCCGCCTTGAACATCCACAATCTCCAAAGAGTGCGAAATAACTTGTTCCTGCATTTCTATTTGATTAGAATCTACAGTCTCTTCTACAGGTTCTGAAGACATCGATAGAAACTGTACTATATTTTTATCTATATTTTGTTCCGTATCTTGCAACATAGAAGTCTGGCCATTATTCTTTTCCCAAACTTGTTTATTCGAGCTGTTTGTCACATTCTTTGTCTTTTGCCTTTTCACCTTTGACTTCTGCTGTTGTAGCGGGTGCTGGTGCTCTTGGTCTGGCAAGTTTATCTTGATCAGCAGCCCCGGTGGAATACTTGATAAACTGTGAACAGGTATCGGAGCACCAAGAGACGATATATCCCCAGTAAATGGCATTATAATTTTTTTAATATTTGTCTGATTATTCGTAACATTTGAAGGGATATTATTAATTGTAATCGGCTGCAACTGATCTCCCAACTGGATCTTCCAATTGGTTGTAGATGGAAGAGGTAGTTTTCTAATCATTTGGCTCTCCAAATTGCTGGGCATAGGTCTAGGAATATTAATGGAAGTCGGTCTTCGGGTCTTTCCTCGTTTCTTGGCTAACGGTGCAGGTTTGTTGTCTATTTTGGGTTTCTTGCTGGATACTAGTGGCCTAGAGCTACGCTTAAGGACCTTGGAAGGGTCTCTGCTCTCGTCTCCGAGGTCCGGCTCGTCCTCATTTTGCTCCATAATATTTTCAGATTCCGTAATATCCTTAATTGTAGGAACCGCATCGCATGGGCCGATGTTGTGGAAGCTTTGGCCGGTCTGAAAGTGTTTCGAACACAGTACGAGTTTGCGTATTTGATTGGGCGACATTTTGAGTAAATCTTCCCGGCCCAAGAATTGACACCATCGCAAACATCGACCTATTTCGTATGCCGGGAACGGATGGAACTTGTAACGTTCCAGCTTGTTCCTCGGATCGGACCTTAACCGACCACAAGCTGCACAAGCCTGGCTCTCCAATATCTTGTCAGGTAATGGCTCCACCTTTTTGCTCTTATCTGAAGGGCTGAAAAGCTTTGGTTCAGGCTGCAATTTGAAACCCGATTTAATAACAGATTCCGTCTGGTTCAATTGGTCTGGATTAAGAACACTGGGGACCGCATTCTCCATTAATCTTCCCTTAAATCCCGGGACAAATTGCGAACGGTCAAAATGTTTGGAACATATGTAGCAGAAAAGTATTTCCTTCCTCGTTAACCTGTAATAAGAATCCATGCCAACAAAGTCCAACCATTTGAGGCAGCGGAACTCTTCTCCGGGGAAATGATGAAAGGTTGTTCCATCGTAATCTGCTGCGGGTGGATCTCTTCGTGTTCTGCCACAAAGAACACACGTTATATTGTACAAACTTTGCTTAGGATCGTAAATTGATGGAACTGCGGTGGAATTTAAACGGTCTATATACGGTTCATTAAGAAAATCATGGGGCTGGAAGTGCTTAGAGCAGACCATACGTTGAAGAAGCTGCTTTTTTGTCAGCTTGTAGAGGTCTTCGCGACCACAGAACTCTAGCCATCGACAGCAACGCGCTTCGTCATTCACTGGAAAGCCGAAAAACATATATTCCTCCTCGCGATTGTTGGGGTTCATGCGCGAACGGCCGCAGACGACGCAAGGATGTGGCATGATTGAGATATTGTGGCTCTCAAAAGTAAATCGATCCTCGTGCTTAAAAATCAGAGTAATAAATCTGAAAGATCATGCAGCTTCGGGATTATTCATTCTTGTAGTTTTTGTACGAAGATACAGCCGTTGGATCCCTTTTCTTCATGCTCGAAACAGTGGTCCACAAATATAAAGAAATTCTCAGATCTCGCCTGTCCATAGTTCATAATTAAAGTTGTGGCTCTCAGGGATAAAAACTTTAAAATCTTTCCTCTTTAAAGTTTAAAATTGCAGCGGTTATCGAATGTTCCCTCTTTATAATACAAGTTACCGTTCACATAAGGCTTTTAAAATTATCATTTTTGTTTTCATAATTCGCAATTTAAATCATAGCTTCCACAGATTTCCTTTTCGAACAAGCTCTTCCTTTTCACGATTTGCGGCACACAATCTGATCCAGAAATTGACTTTGAATTTCCAGACAGAGAACCATTTATCAGCTCTTCAAAATATGCTTCTGTTGTACCTGAAAATAATTGAAATTACATCAAAGGCGCTTATAATCCATAAATACATAAGAGAAGACAAAAACAGGGCAAAGACACTAGGTTTTACATGTGTGTTATACTTAAAATTAATCATATACTATTTATTATTAATTAATTAACAATTCTTGCTCGTTGGATTCGAAAGAGGTTAAGTAACGAAAATTAACAAAATTCGGTGAATAAATGGCGACAGCGGCGAAATTAAGCTCGATTTAAAATAGATTGTGTCACTTCTCTCACAAGCTCACGAAATTCACGACGTATCTTTCCATTTTGTCGCGAGGTTTGTTTTATCGAAGGACGTACGACCGTTTAGTCTCACCTTTTTAATCGAACCTGTGATTTATGTAACGAACAAATTCGAGACGGCACTCCGAGGTCTTTATTTTCACTGGGACTTGGAAAATATTTATTATTGGAAAGACGCTGTGAATTTATTTAAAGAGTTTCCGTGCACTTGTTGCGCTCTCATACGACGAGCTACAATAAGGTTATGTTAGTTTGCGCATCTGCGGACTTAACCTGCAAGTGCCACGGGCAGTCTGGTAGCCGACACTCGTAAATGCGTCGCCGGGGTAAAACGATAAAAGAGAACGAAATACGTGTGCACGCATATGCGCGCGTAAACGGTAAAATTAATGTTGCTGCTTGGAGAAATGAATGCACCGGTAACCAAGGTATTGTTCGTAGGAAAAAATTTACGACGTAGCGATATGGTATCGATAATTTGTTACATTTCTCCTTAATGATGCTGCAGCCGTTGACTCTCCAGAAAGGAATCGCGTGCGGACCCAGCCAGCTCGATTTGCAGTGACAGTTTTCTAGGAAGGGATCGTGAGCCTCTTGTCCAATCTTCGTTCTAAAGGTCCAGGCTTTGTCAAGCCTTACAGGGGGTGTATTTAAACACCTAACGTAGAACAGGTAACTTATGATAGCCTTGGATGCAGTGCAGTAAGAGAGAGAGAGAGTTTGATGGATTAACTATATTTATACGTATTACACGTATCTCCGGACAAATGGTTTTCATTATGTGCGTGCGCAAGCCTTGTATGCTTTTGTAACGTGTGATTTTTATTTTTAAAATAATAGACTTGAGACAGTTTGCGCGTAAATCAAATTTTCCGACTCCTTGACTTCGCCAGATTCTGTTGACTTATTTTATCGATATTTCTATTGAAGGCAACAAATTGAAGGGGCACCAGACTTTATCTCGTTAAAGGCGAATATTGGCAAGAGATGGCAGAGAGTACTAACAACCCCTACGACATCAATGGGCAACACTTCAACTCTGACATGTACTTTCAAAAGTTGTTGAAGGTAAGCTAACTTGCAAGTTCTGTAAACAAGAGATATCGTGTGTGGACCACGCCTGTCCGATTTGCGGTCGACAAGTTTCTTTGTCAAGCTCTTTACTATATTTACACGTATTTTCATAAGAATAAATGGAATTGATATATATTTGGAAAACTATTAATATCCACAATATACATTAAACCAAATTGTCCCTTTGATTCTAATTAAAAGATCATTTAAAGCGGTGTTTCCGTTTTTAACTCGTCTAACAGCAAGATAAAATTGTTGCTCTACTTGTTTGAAGGATTATATCTTTCATTTTATATAATAAAACAAGATGCTGTGTTATTATGTGTAGGAATGCACGCTAAAGCAGATTATGGATCACGAAGCGGAGATCATAAAAAACACTCAGATTTTACATTCAGACATGCAGACCTTGGTATACGAAAATTATAATAAGTTCATATCTGCTACCGATACTATACGCAAGGTAAACCATCTCTCAAGAAAAAGATTATCGGATATATTTCTAATGTTTTAAATGTATTTTAGATGAAGACAGATTTCAAGGAGATGGAGGATAGTATGGATCTTTTAGCTACGAATATGGAAAGCATCACTTCTTTTTCGGAGCAGATCTCTTCAACTTTACATGGAACAAGACAGCAAATTGCTAAATTGTCCTCTGTACACAGCCTGTTGAAGAAATTGCAGTTTCTTTTCAAGCTACCTAGCAATCTTAAGGATAAAATAAACGAAGAAAAATATGCAGAAGTACATATACACTGTTTTTTTTATACATGAATGTATAATATATACCATAGCATTCACAAAATTTATGTTAAATTTTAGTTTTGATATTATGAATGATTGCTTTTCAGGCAGTTAAAGATTACGTCCGTGCACAAGAAGCTTTAAATCAATACAGCAACATGCCATCCTTCCAAGGCATCCAAAAAGATTGCGAGGAAATTTTGGAAGAATTAAAATCTAAACTCAGATTACAATTTCATAAGAGAGACGTCTCTACTAAGACTTTAGCCGAAAATATAGATCTTTTGCTACAATTGAAGGAACCAGCTGATTCATTATGCATTGAATTTCTGCTGTACGCCGAAGAAAGATTAATAGAACAATTAGATATTTTGAAAGATATGTGTGAAAACGATATTATAGAGTTCGTAGACATGGCTTCTTCGGGATTTCTCAATAATTTGTGCCTGATTGTGACTTCTTACAAGGATATATTTATCAATCGGTCATTGGAAGACAACGATTTAGTTGATGATTTTGAAATAAAAGCTGTGGATCATTTGAATAACTTTATCATGGATTATATGAAAAAATATTTTGATTTGATGGGCAAAAGAATGGAGGATGTAGCTGATACAGCAATTTTAGTGAGAGCTCTCGACAAATTTCATCGTAAGCTGCAAGAAATGAATATGTTGTCAAAGGAAACAGACTTTGCCAGGTAGGTGAAGAAAAACGTCCATATTAAGTAATTTGGAGTATAAAATGTATATATAAATAATACGGAATACAAAATAAAATAGAATAGTGTAACAAAATTAATGCATAGTAAATAATGTATAAAAATTGGTAATTGCAAATAAAAGACTAGTAAAACTAATTAAGATAGATTACTTTGCAGAATTGGCACTGATCTTGTTGTAAATGCTGGCCGAAAACAATGTCGCAATCATTTACATAGTCTGAAACAACACTTGAGTGAAATTTTAGCAAAAGTAAGGCAGACTTTAGCTACTAAAGTCACGCATGATGGCGATGGAGGCTTGGCGGAACTTCAAGCTATGCTCATTATGCCTACCATAGAAAAAGTTAAAGGAGTTCTACAAGATTTATCGGTTTGTACTTCTGTTCAACTTTTAATTCATTTTTTTTTATAGGTTTCTTACTCCCTTATCTTTAATTTCTTAACTAATAAATGTGAACGATAAAAATTTAAATTAATAATAATTGTTCTAGGCATTTCTACAATTAAACTTGTCAAATAGTATAAAGATACAATTTTTGCAAAGTTTCTGTGTGGATGAAGTGAGAGAAGGATTAGTAATCGGTTTTCTGCATCATCTCACAGCTACAGTAGCTGGATTTTGCAATGGATCCGATGTACCAAAATTTCCGCCCACTTTGTTACTTTTACTCAGCAAAATGTGCCTCGAGTATAAGGAGAACAACGTCCGTCATCTGGTCAGAGACGAAAAGATTTAAAAGATGTCTTAATTAATTATAACGCATCGTAACAATAAATAAACTAATATAAATTAAGACGTATAACTAAGCATATATGTATATGGTAAATAATATAGTGATATATTTCTTTTTGCGTTTTACAGCTCACGAAATTTGACGATCTTTTTAGTATCGATCACTATGTATCGTCGGAAAATATCATAACTCCTGGATCAGAAATGTGTGATCGTTTTCAAGAGGCAGCTCAGAATTTGTTGAATCATTATGTGCGAATTCAGGGATTAACAGTATCCCAAATGCTGAGGAAATCCGTGGAGACCAGGGATTGGTTGCATACTATTGAACCTAGGAACGTGAGAGCTGTCATGAAGAGGGTTGTCGAAGATGTGACTGATATTGATGCACAAGTTGCCGCTTTATACAACAGCAACGATGGCCAAGTCGATAGAAGTAGCGATAGTAGCAGGAAGACTCATAGGTGAAGAATTTCACCCGACTAATTTTTCTTATTTAACATATATAGTTTCATGTAAAGTTACTTGAAAAATTTTGATACAAAATTTAAAAAAAAAATTAAATCTTGAGAGATTCTGTAAATATAATATTTAATTCTTTGTATTCTGAAATTTATTATTCTTTGCTCGTAATGGTAAATGCTGGCTTTGGAGTATATAATCAATTTATTTCAGTGTTAGCATATCTAGGCAACACTACAGATCAAATTGGTCATCCTACACATCTAGCCATATCGATTCCTCCCTAGTGACGAATATTCACAAATTGTTCTCCGAACGAATCGAAATATTCTCATCTGTACAATTCAACAAGGCGTCTATTCTAACAGGAATCATCAAAATAAGCTTGAAGGTGATAATAGTAAAATAGAGTAGTTTAATAAGGAAACAGCAATAAAATAATATTTTATTTAATGCAATATAATGTAAGTTTATTTTATTCATTTAGATCAATTTCTATTTCTTTATTTTTGTTTATTATTTTATCAATAAGATCATATTAGCTTATTATTCTCAGTTTTTTATTTAATATTTTATATGATTATATTATTTTTTATATTATTTTCTAATGTATAAAGCGATAAAAACTCGTGCAGAATAATATTTTTAGCAGGCAATGTACTGGTGTAATGATCGCTCAGGTGCAGAGTAGTCGCAATGACAAAATAGCACGGTCATTATTCACTTTATAAAGTTGATTCATCCTTCCAATTCTGTCATCGTTCACTACGCAATATGTTTCATGCTTTTGCCATGCTTACACATCTAGTTGAATAAAAATATAAAACTATTATATTCCTATAAGATTATACGATATTATTACATTAAGGAATTATCGTTATGTAAAAAAGTTACTATATTAAATTCTAAAATCATATAATTATTAATTTTCTTTAATGTTATCTGGTAATACTTGTACATAGACTTTCCTCGAATGCGTAAGATTACGAACCTTCAGCAAGTATGGCTTACAACAAATCCAGGTGGATACACATTATTTGCAACTTTATTTGTGGCCATTCGTGTCAGATGAAAAGTAAGATACCAATTTAAATTTGCAATTTAAGATAATTGATTTATATATTTATGTTAATATTACGGTTTGCAGCGTGGTTCACTTTTTGCTGGACGAGATTTTGGGCAGTGCAGTACATAGATGTTTGGACCCCGTTTTGATGGAACCCAGCGTGGTCGACATTATTTGCGAAAGAGGGTGAATTATGAGCCATTGCAAATGATCTTGTATATGCATATAGAAGTATATCGTAGATGGTATGTGATGCAATTTATAAAAAAGTGAAATAATGATAAAGATATTTAAATATGTATCATATAATATATATAAGAGCAATGTGTTAAAAAAATTAGGATTAAATTATGTACAGATTAAATAAGTATATAGTTGCGTTTATTATAATAATAGATTTTTATAATAATGTAATAATGCAAAATAATCTCCTATAAAAACCTCTATACTCTTCTTTCATCTTTTTCTATCTATGAAACTAATTTGCTATTCCTGTTTCTTCTCAGATCTTGTTCCCACCTTACTCACAGTATAAGGCTACTAGGAATAATATACAATGTAAGCAGCTCAGGGTCAAACGATTTTAATAAGTCTCAATTCTTCTATTATCACATTCTGTACTTTTAAATTTTTCTGCCGAGTTCGTTTCTTCATATTTTTAAGTTCTCTCTTGAGAAATTTTCATTTTTCATATACATATATTAGTACTTTTTACATTTTACATACATATATGTATACATTATAATTACAAATTATAACATATTTCACATAATATATGCATGTTATAACACATAACATTCATATATGTACAATACTACGTATGAATGTAAAATAAGCGATGGTAATATCTTTAAACTACCATCATTCATTAGAATATTGAACAATTAAGAGACGAATGGGATCGCGATAAGTTTATCGTTTGTATGGGCTACCAAGAGAGAACTTGGTTGTAACCCCTTGACAGTAGCTCTCGACTTAATTCGGACTTCCTCTCTCTTGGGATGAGATTCATTCGGCGAGTATCCGGCCTGGGCCCACGCACCGCATTCTATCCAATTTAATAACACTCGCTCCCCTGAATCGCTTTCGGCAAACCGTAGGCTCCGTAAAACTTTGATTCTGAATTCTATCGAAAAGAAAGAACCGAGAATTCAATCTGCATTCAATATTATTCTAATCTTAAAGAAGACAGTCTAATAATAAGTAATGTATACGTAGTATTTAAACCTACTGTTTTTTTTTCCTTTTAACTTTATTCATGTTTAAACTAAACTTCTCAAAGTCAAAGTAACTCAAATCGAAATGAGATTAGAAACGTCCCTTCATTCCGAGATACGTGGAAAATGCTATTAAATATTTTTCTATTATATACAAATTATTATCTCAAAAAATAGCGCCGAAAATCGACGAGCTGAATCTTTATTTGCTGCGATAATAATAATTTGACGTACGAAAATAATACGAAGCAAAAAAAGAATGTCGCTCTGCGACATCGAGAGAATGTGAAATAAAATTCGCTCGAAAAGCGTTGCGGGGAGATCATCTCGAATGTAAAATGGTATTGAAGATAGGGAGACGGACAGACGAACATATGGTAGCAGGCACACGTGATATCTTAAGAAACACCTGTGCATGTGTAACTTGTTGGCAATTTCTCGTGGCATTCCATCTGAGGCTGCTGCTACATATAGATACCAATCATACTCCTACGACGTGTCAAAGTGAATTGATAGTTGTGTGAAGCACTGGTATCAAAGACTGGAATAAGCGAGACCATTCGCAAATCATCTGCGTAAAGTATTTAACATAATATACTATATAATACATATATGTTAGAAAATAATTCTCTGAGAGAGTAGGTTCTATTGAAAACTTTCTAGATATATGGGCGTCATACTTTGAGAACGGTCGACGATTTGACTTTCAGCTTTGTCTTTGACGATTCTTCGAAATTGGTTCCTTTTCTATACGCGATTACTTCATTCACATGTCCGATTGATAGATGACAAAGAAACGAAGGGGAAAAGAGCGAGTAATCGGCATTGTGCAGCAATATCGTTTCACTTCTGTAAAATAGACCCGCATGGGAGAGTCGCGGTCGTCATAAAATTGCTATAGCGTTTCAAGACACATAAGTGGCGCAATGTACATTAAAGTTTCGTTACACGATTTTTTATAGATAAAATTTTGATATAATTATCTCAATTTCTCGCAACGTTATATAATTTTATTCTTTTACATATGTTTTTTTTCTACCACGTGTGTGTATGTGAATATTACGTGTAACAATTTGTGCGTGCATTTGCGCATGCGTGTTGTGCGTGAGCATTGAAATATATAGATATATTTATATAATATATATAGATATATGTATATGAAATTGAAACATATGTACATTTTTCTTTAAAAATATATACTAACCTTACGTTAATTTTGTGTTTCAGATTCTTAAAAAACAATATCAATTCTACGGAAATAGTAATAATAAGGATATTTCGATTTGTGACCGTAACAATGGGCGAAGCTCCATTAGAACGCTCGTTGGTGCGTTCGCAAATCTAACTATCCTTTTCACGTCTGTCGATCGCATTCATCAAGATCTTTTTAAAATATAAGTACCCTGGTGATAAAAAAAATTTTTATGCATAAATTTGGCTTTTGATATTCGCTGCGAACGTACGCATCTATTAAAGCATATAATTTATGTAACGATATCAATTTCTAGTAACATGAATTTCATTCTTCTTGGTGGATATATCGATGATCGAATCGGTGATGTTTAAGGTAATTAAGGTATGAAAATAACATTTCGATTCAGTGGCTTATTTGCACGCTAAGTAGTAGTGCCGTAGGTGATGATTAAAAAAAAACTCACTTCGGCACAATTACTTTACATGCTAGTAGGCGCAGTCGTCGTAAAGCTGGCATAAAAATGGAGCGTTTTATAGAATACCGAAATTGTGTGTATCCTCTCGGCGAGAGTACAAATAAAGACTAAGCGCACTTTGTGAATTAAAATCCCTTAGTTCTCAACGTATTCTTTCTTTTCCCTTAATTTCCGAGTTAAATTCTGGAGCGCTTCGTGCCCTTTTCCTCCTGCTTCGCTTTCGACAATCAATGGGGGGGTATGGGATTTAATTCGCGACGAGAACGCGCAATCTCGTCGCGGAATTTGAATGAGGGCCTTACTGGACCGGTGAATAGTTTGATAACAGCTCCCATCTAGATAGATGAAGGGGAAAGGAGGGACAAGATCATTCGCTGTCGGTTGGCGGACTATTCAGTGCCGCGACCGACACTGATTTCAATTGGTAAATTGACTCAGAACGAGTGGGAGAGAAAAAAAATGGCGGCACGGAGTGACCGACGATGAAGCCACGGAAGTAGGGGAAAAGACAGTGGCGTAACTTAGCGTAAAAGAAAAAAAAAAACAGAACGTTTGTGAACCTAAAAAGGAAATTAAAACGTATACAATTTTAATACAGTCTTTTGCGCAAAATTAAATTGAATTGCAAAAGGAATTAACGATATTTTATATATAAATTTAAGATACAACATTTGCGAGTCAAATCAACATTTGTGAAAACTAAAACTCTTTTATCCTTTTACATCGCTCCGATACTTTCGCTCCCCGTTATTTTTAATTCCACGTTCCTCGTTCGTTTCCGTTCAACTGGACAATTTTATCGTATTTGTAGAAATGTATCACGAGAAACAAGGGGAGGGGGGGGAGAGAAGACAGATAAGAAGGAGAGGGAGGTGTTTCTCGCTACTCTTTGAGTACCAGAAATTTGTGATTTTTGCCGCCGGGCGGGGAGAGATTCCGCGGGCTAATTAGTCGAAAGGGCGACGGAAAAGGAGAGGAGGAAAACGTTGTGCCAGAAAACAACCGTGGCGGTGGACGTCTTCTTTCTCGTCACCGAGCAGTTGGTTAATAGGCACTGAACGCCGTTTGAATGCTTAATGCGGCGCGCATTCTAAGATTAAATTGACCAATCATTTCCCGCGCGCACAGCGGAGCCAATTGCGCCGCGCGCTCGCGCGCCCTACTATATCAAGCCAATCAACGGCACTTAGCGCTCAGTCGTCGTCGCGTCGTCGCGTCGTGCGTGTTGCGGCGGGTTTGTGCCGTATGCGTGCGCGCACCACTATATCAAGCTAATCAAGCGTGCACAGCCGCTCAGTCACTGCGTGCTTCGTCAGTGAAGTTTCCCCCCCCCCCGTTTTTTTATTTCGTTCGCGTGGAACCCGTAAAACGCGCGCGAGAATAAAGCTGCGATTCAGCACATTTAGTGAACGAACGGAGTGACGAATGTACGTACGTGAGGAAGTTGGCTACGCGTTTTGTCGTTTTTTATAAAAGGCGAGAGAGTCTCGTTGGTCTTCGCGAAAAGAATTGGTACTCTCGTACAGAATTTAATCGTTTCTACGCGACGTCGTAAAGTCCTTTTATCTCCACTCGTATTCCTTGATTAAATTTTCCAAATTTCGCTCTCTCGCGTTCTAATATCTTTCCACTTTACGTCGAGATTAATCTGCAAAAAGTGATAACTGTGTTATGTCATATCAATATATATATATATATTTTAATTTTTGATAAAATTGCATTTGTTTGTGTTACACGCATATATACATATTACGTATTACAATATTTACTATCCACATTTTTGTAACTATCAGTTCATTCATATGAGGAGGAATCTGTAAATCTACTTGCGTATCTATAAGATTAAATTATCGCAGGAAATATAGAATACATAATATCTATATGTGTAAATAATACAGAAGTAATGAAAAGATCTATAGAAGGTTTATTATATAATTGGAGATTATTGAATATAATAGATAAACGTATAGCATAGATGAGAAATTTGCATATCGAATCTCTGAATCAGTAAAAAACATTCTAGTTACGCGAAAATTAATTGCATACGCGCTCAACACGGTAAAGGATTAAAGGTTACTTACGATTTCCTGTGCCGACAGAAGGCAACAATACTTAATGTATGGAACAATTATGAATTCTTGCTTGAATGTGAGGCACTAATTGTCTTCAGGAGACTTTCGATTAATATCCTTAAAAACTATATGAGATTTCTTCCTTTTTACTATTACTTATATTTGTTTGTAGTTATTATTACTGTTAATTTTATTTCCTTGAAGCACTCTCTCTCTTTGAATAAATTTCAATCTAAGATCCTCTTCTTGCTCCTGATTAATTTTTCATCGTTTTTGATTTTTCCAATCAGTCTTTTATTTCTTCTTAATTAATTTATTACTGTCGAATCAATACAAGCGTTAAAAAATTAATGATTACTTGA